GAAGTCTTCTGCCCACTTCCCAATTCTCATTCATTAAATTCCCACCAATGACCTGAGATCAGCTCACCTATATAACAAGCTCCCACCATGTCCTCCATTTCTCCACACCTCTAACATTCCATCTTCAGTGCATTCTGACAATATCTCTCACCTTCCAACTTTAGAATCAAACAAAAGGCTAAGTAGGAAGCAGAAATGGAAAGCGGAAACAAGGGCACTTCAGGAGGAAGCAACAACAATCAGGCTGCATCTTCTGGAAAACCTGCTGCTGGCTCCTCTTCTGCATCAACTGGCTCTGGAACCATGAAGGCCCCTGGAGCTGACCATCATATTTCGAGGGCTGAGTTTGAGAAGAACCCTTCTGCCTACTTCCAGAATCTCCACAAGAAGTAGAAGAACCAGACTACTATATCTATCTATGATATTCTGAAAATGGGCTACCAGATTTATCATTATTATTAAATAAAGTCCCCTGTTTCGTTTCTCTAGTTTTCTGTCCTGCAGTAATCAACCTGAATGAAAAATGGCGTTTGCTTAACTATCTGGGCGCTTTCATTTGTACACACGTCAGGTCTTCCCCACACTATGAAAGTGACACCAACCATCTGTTAACCATCCACCTACTTCATTTCCTGCAGTCTGCAGAGGCCACTCTGCTTCCCCTGTCCAGCCATCCATCACAGAAAGAAAATGGCCAGTCCCAAACACAATCCGACTAGGACTGCCGCAGGCATTAATCAAGAATCACAGTCTAATACACCAACTCCAAACCCTTTCACAAGTCACTGTGTTGTTTCAGTCATACGGCTCTATAATCACTATGATTAACAGTGGGAAACAATGTCCTGAGTGATTGATGTCTTTTAAGTTGTTTATGACTCACTACATATCGAAAGTCACATGTCATCATGAATATTTATTAAGACGCGAGTTGCATGATTTTGAGTATGATTTGTTTGATGACGAACAAAGTTTAAATGTGGAGTAGTTAACAGGTCAGATATATCATTTTTACACCTCATCCTATAGCAAATTTTACACATTTTTATGCCAATGCGTCATATAGGATCGTGACCCACTATCTTCTAGAATTGTGACTGATACTCCCGCGCAAGTGATGTATGTCGTCATTTGGGAAATGTGTCCCATATAAACGAGATGCCCAAAATAATATTTCAACCGATTAAATTTTTGCCATTTGGGGGAATCGATTTGGTGGAACCATTTGCTAGCTCTTTTGGCAACAAACATATCCTGATCCTATAGACTATGTTGCCATGTCAGAGTTTAGTGACAAAATGTTTAAAGAGGCTATTCGACGTAATTGAGAGTCATTTCTATGACCAATTCGACGTATTTTGAGATTGATTTGTAGTCACTCACCCTAGATCTACGTCCTATCATCCTCAAATGAATAGGCAAGTTGAATTCAGAGCTCAAACAAATTCTCTAGCAGTATTATTTTGCTAAGACTGTGTCAGCCTTCGTTAACTCCGTCAGTTTTATGATGACGTCGCTAAGAGAACTGCTGGCTGGACCGTTAACTTGATGACATGTCAATTAAAAAAATTATAAATCACAAATAATTAACTTGATTGGCACAAAAGCCGGCAGACACGCAACGCTTCACCTCCCACTTTCTACCGGCTTAGGATAGGGTCAGTAACCAATGGTTACTGATCTATGAGTAACTAAATCTGGACCTTTAGATTTAAGTGGGCCCAGAAAATCCAGATCTAAGGGTTGTCAATTAAAGACATTTTATTTTCCCTAGTTTTCATAATCGGCTCTTATCTTTTTCATTCTAACTCGGATTTTAATTCTTTTTTTACACACATGGAACGAGTTCGTTGTGCTCTACAAAATGAGATCAATTTTCAATATATTTCGAGAAACGTTTTTTTACCAACTACATACCATATGGTAACTTCTTCATTTATAAGTCGTTTTTGAAATTGTTTGCTCAGAAGGAACGTTGATTGTTGGATCTACAAATTTCTGGGTGAAAAAATACAGGACAAAAAATTACCATACTTTACCACTATGGTATGTGGGTGGTAACTTGTGGTAAACAATTATGAAAGTCGTAAATGACAGTTAGTATACTCCTACTATCATGTATTCAACCTTCTTACCATATTAGTATGTTCATACCATCATGATACGCTTTCTTACCATATGGTATTAAATATGAGCATACCATATGGTAATGACTGGTAAAAAATTATTCAATTTTGTTTTTGTACTAAAAATATATCAAAGTGAATATCATTTTAAAGAGCACATTTAATCTGAATTATCTGTGCAAAAAAATTTTATTTCGACTTAAAACGAGAGAGAAATCGTCCGTTAAATATTAAAGGGGAAAAGATAAAAGACTTTTAAGGAGAGAGAGGGATAGTGATGTCATACTGATATGGATGGGTTACTCATGGTTAATGACCATAAGGTTACTCACCTGATTTGTTCCCCTTTCTACCCAACGGTATCGGTTTCTCTCCTGTCACTACAAAATAAATTAGGTTTGGGGACAACATAAGTCGTCCTCGGAAAGAGGCAAAATCGTCCCCACAAATTATGGGGATGACACAATAGTCCCTAATGTGTGGTCCCTTATACTCTTGTCCTCTATTTTTTCAGGGACGAAAAAATCTATGTCCTCCCCAATACTTGTAAATTATTTTCCTTTACTTTTCAGTGCAAGACTACATATCATCCCTGTAGCTATGGTTTTGGCGACAAAAACACGTCCCCTAAACATTATTATAGTGAACAAACCGTTGTCCCCTATAATCCACTTTTCACGGAAGATTTGTGACTATTTGAGGACAACATATTGTCCCTTTTTCCTTCTTATAGATTCAATATGTTGTCCTCATGGATGTAGAACAAGTTATTGCATTTGACCTTTTGGGAACATTAGTGGTCTCCTAACTTTAATCTTAGGGACGAAAAATTGTGACCTACTTTCTTTTTATGCACGTTGCATTCCCCCGCAACACATACAAATATTAAACTATGCAAGAACTCAACAGAGCAAATTAAGAGACAAAATTTATCTCTCCAACAATTGGATTTATTATAGCAATAACCATATAATGGAACATTGGAATTGGTGTTCCACGGGAATGAAAAAGATCTGTGTGTACTTGTTATGTAGAATGAGAAGCACGAAAAAACACCACCAAAAATATGTATCCGCTGCAATGTGCCTTCACTCATCACCGTCCGACAGCATATTTGCAATCGTTGTTGACTTGCCTAAACACTGTCAACATGGATAGCCGCCACATATACCTCTTCAATGGAACATGACCGAAGAAGCCTCCGCGATGTCGCCACTGGCTTCATCATCGTTGTCGACGCTGGAATAAAACAAAAGATCAATATTGAAGAAAATATATAGATCCAAAGCTAATATTGAAACAAAGACTGAAAACCAAGAAAAAAAGGAACTACGATGAGTCCTACCATCGACTGGACACTAATGACTAGGAGAGCGAAGCGCTGGTGAACAAAGGTAGAGAAGAGCCGGCGTCCAGCGGAAAGGAGAAGAAGACGGAGAGGCGGAGAGCCGATCGGCCGAAAGAAGGAAGGGAATAGACCATTCGACCAAAAGAGGGCGAAGACTGGAATGTAGCTAGGGTTTCTATCGATACTTAAAGCTAAATGGACGTTTGAGATTAAAACTTATGGAAATGACCGGCTGAGATGAAGTTGAATTCTAGAGAGCCAAGTATTTTAATATATAAGAGCAAGTATTTTAATACAATTGAGAATTTAATATCCAAGTATTGTAATATTTACTAAGAGTTGGTTAGCAGGATTTGATAAAAACATTATGAATTAAATCATTTCTAATATAAAAGAATGACTTATAGTTTCACTTGTAAAGTATAAATATTGTCTTATGTAGTCATGATAGCATTGTGGACAATATATATTAACTAATTTTGTTTTTGTGAGGACAACATATTGTTCCGATAGATGTCTCTAGAAAAATTATTTAAGGACAAGAAGTTGTCCCTTATACTTTATTTTTCGAGAGGACAAGTTCTCACCTATGTGACTTTTAGGGATGACCAAGTGTTCATTAAGTTGTGGCTTCGTGAAGGATAAATTGTCACATATATAACATTTATCGAGGACCAGTGATCCTTTAACCTATTTTGTTAGAGATGAGAAATTGTCTCCTATGTAACTTGAAGGGATAATAAGTCGTCCCTTATCATGTGTCTTTAAGGACTACTTATTATCTTCTATATAACTTGTACGAACTAATATTCTCTCTAAACTTATTCCTCGAGGATGATTAATTGTTCCCTATATTATTTGCAAGTACGACTAATTGTCCTTTATCTCGTGTTTTTGGAGACATCTTGACGTCACTTATTTTACTTCTAAGGACGACCAGTTGTCTCTTAAACTGTGTCTTCATGTTGACTAATTGTCACATACATAACTTGTAGATAGGCTAGTTACTCATTAAGGGGTATCATTAGGGAATAGGGATTATGAATCAACTGTGCAACTTATCGTGACAACAATTCAGTGTGCTCGTAGTTTGAGTATAATTATCATTAATCTCTTAGTAAAAGAAAGGCATTCAACTTACTACATTACCAACTCAATTGCGTTTATTATGTATAATCTACATAGCAAATCTAAATATTAAAAGGAAAATAATAACACAAATTATAAAATTGCTAGTAATTGGGAACGATAAAGGAAAAGATATCGACCTCCATATCAGCTCATGAATTACTATGTGGAGAGGGAGGAAATTAAAATGAAGAATTGCTAGGATATCAATGATTAATTCAAAGATTAATCTTCCTGGTTTATTAGTTACGGCCGGATAAGATTTGTTTTGGGGACAACTGAATAAAATTAAAAAATAATAAATATCACATTCCTTATTTTATGGAGACAATTTATACGCTGGTCTCTAATACTACTTAGATTGCGAAGACAATATCCGGAAATTGTTCCTTAATATTGGTCCCCAAATCTCCTTATTTTTTAGTGATGTTAAAGGGGAAAAGATAAAAGATTTTTTAGGAGAGAGAGGGATAGTAATGTCATACAAATATGGATGGGTTAATCATGGTTAATGATCATAAGGTTATTCACCTGATTCGTTCCTCTTTTTATCCAACGGTTTCAGTTTCTCTCCTGTACAACAATGAAAGCAGGGAATGAGCGCCACAACAAAACCTTCCCGCCTCATCATGATCATCATCAAAATCATCCCGGCCACCATGCTCCTCTCCAGCTCAACCTCATGCCATATTCCTCCTCCTCTGCCTTCTCCCTTCCCCACCCTGCCCCCGTCGCCACCGCAAATCACCCCAAATCCTCCTCCTGAATTAACCATGCATGCTGCTCTCATCTGGAATCCTTCATCTGGTAATGGATCTCTCGTCGTGTTCCTCTTTCTCCTGCTTTAGTTCTTTCCAAGTGAGTGTCGTTTCGATTTTTCCCCCAATAAATTAACCACGCTTTATCTCTTTTGAGCAGGGGAAGAAAAATTGGAATCTATAGATTTTTCAAGTTCAATCGGCTTTGCATTTTTTTTCCTATACTCTAGATCCAAATTCGAACTTGAACTGGGGCGAGAAGACGAGATCGTTCCTCGGAGGGATCGACGTGAACCGACTCACGGCTGCATCGACCGTTGATTGCGAGGAAGAAGCAATAGTTTCTTCTCCGAGCAATACCCTTTCTAGTATCAGATGGAAGAGGAGCGAGAGGGATCAACCAGATACTACCGGGTCCACCGGAGAGAATCTCAAAGAGAGCTTCAAGGAGCGCAACACTCTCAATCCTTATGTCTGAAACAAAACTGGAGAAGGTGATCGGAGGTGACTTTTAAATTTTAATGAGTTATTATTGAGAGATCAATTTATGAGTCAAATTAGTTATAGATTTAATGGCCGTCCCCAGATTTGATTATCATTATTCTACAATATGATTCGGCTCAAGATAGGGTGCATAACCATGGATTATGCACCCATGCATAACCAAATCTGAAGTTATTATTTAGAAAATCCAGATTTAAGGATGGAAAATTAAAGACCATTTTTATTTTCTCTAGCTTTTTTAATCGGCACATATCTTTTTCGTTTTAACTCGAATTTTGATTTTTTTTTTTTTTGCACAGATGGAACGAGTTCATCTTGCTCTACAAAATGAGATCAATTTTCAATATTTTTTTAGAAAAAAAAATTATGGTCTCTCAGTACCAACTGCATACCATATGATATTTTCTTCGTTTTTAATTCGTTTTTGAAAACGTTTGCACAGAAGGGACGAGTTCATCATGATCTATTGGATCTACAAATTTCTGGGTGAACAAATTACATGACCAATAAATGTGAACGGCTATTTGCCGCCAATCAAATTGCTATTTGCCGCCAACTAAAAAAAAAAAACGAATTTTTCTATTCCTTCCTAGTGCCTCCGTCGCCGGTAAAAAAAAAAATTTAAATTTTGAATTTTCCCTTCCTTCCCAGTGCCTCCGTCGCCGGCACCGTTCTTCCGTCGTCGGCTAACCTCCCGTCGCCCTCAATCGTCGGAAAACAAGTAAGTTTACTTTTTCCGGCCAGTTTTCTAGTTTTCCGGTAAGTTTTCCAGTTTTCCGGCGAAAAACACGGCGGGCCGAAAAAAAATTGCTGCCTGAACGTCGCCGAGCCGAAAAAAATTTGTGGCCGGGACGACGGCCGGCCAAAAATTCTTTCGGCCCGGCGACGCCACGGCCGCAAATTTTTTTCGGCCGGTCGCCGAACACGCCGGCCAAAAATTTTCCGGCGGCGTGTTCGTCGGCCGGCCAAAAAAATTTGCGGCCGGAGCGACGTCGGGCCGAAAGAATTTTTTTCGGCCGGTCGCCGAACACGCCGGCCAAAAATTTTCCGGCGGCGTGTTCGTCGGCCGGCCGAAAAAAATTTGCGGGCGTGGCGTCGCCGGGCCGAAAGAATTTTTCGGCCGGCCGTCGTCCCGGCCACAAATTTTTTTCGGCTCGGCGACGTTCGGGCCGCAATTTTTTTCGGCCCGCCGTGTTTTTCGCCGGAAAACTGGAAAACTTACCGGAAAACTGGAAAACTGGCCGGAAAAAGTAAACTTACTTGTTTTCCGACGATTGAGGGCGACGGGAGGTTAGCCGACGACGGAAGAACGGTGCCGGCGACCGACGATTGACTTGCCTCGCGCCCGATCTTCGTCCAATCGACCCCGAACTCGCTAGAAATCCATAATGAAATTCATAAGTTCATAATGACACTAGGGTCATTAAAAATACAACTAGAAAAACAACAACATATAAATAGGGCATTGGAACACGACACACGATTTACGTAGTTCACTAACACGAAGTATTTATAGTACTTCTCCATGTGGGTCAGCGAGACCCACGATTACCAGTCGTAGCGGCTGATAGTCCGATTCAAGTCACATCAACAAAGGGTTTAGGGTTCAGGGTTTAGGGTTTAGGGTTTGAAACACATGGTTCGTGTAGCACTTTGCCCACATTGTCTGATGGTTAGTGATGATTCATGGATGCGTGTACGCATTATATGTCGAGGATAGGCTTTCCCGATGATTTTCCGACGACTTTTCCGGCGAGCGTTGAATTTTTCTGATTCAATACGTTCTTTGAAAGTTGGATATGTTGTAGATTGTGAAACTCCTTAACCAAAGATGTATATATATATACATTTTTTTTCATCGATGATTTTCCGGCGACTTTTCCGGCGAGCGTTGAATTTTTCTGATTAAATACGTTCTCTGAAAGTTGGATATGTTGTAGATTGTGAAACTCCTTAACCAAAGATGCATATATATACTTTTTTTTTTTTGGTTGGCGGCAAATAGCAATTTGGTTGGCGGCAAATAGCAAGCCTCCCAATAAATACCACACAATACCACTCTGGTACGGGGTGGTATATTATGGTATATTATGGTATTTTCTTTGTTTTTAATTCGTTTTAAAAAACGTTTGCACAGAAGGGATGAGTTCATCATGATCTATTGGATCTACAAATTTCTGGGTGAACAAATTACATGACAAAAAAAATACCACACAATACCATACAATACCACTCTGGTACGGGGTGGTATATTATGATCCACAATGATAAAAGTCATAAATGACAATTAATATACTTCTATTATCATGTATTCAACCATCCTACAGTCTTGGTTTGTTCATACCACCATGGTACGCTTTTCAAACCATAGGTATGTTCTTATTTCCATACCAGTCAATACCATATGGTATAGACTGGTAAAAAATGGCTCAATTTTTTTTGTTCAAAAAATATATCAAAGTGGATATCATTTTGTAGAGCACAATTAATCTGATCTAACTGTGCAAAAAAAATTAAATTTCGACTTAAAACGAGTGAGAAATCGTCCGTCAAAAATTAAGAAGGGAAAAATTAAAGGATTTCCAGGAAAGAGGGATGCAGATGTCATGCTGATGTATTGTGGGGTGGTTACTCACCATAAAGTTACTGACCTGATCCGTTCCTATATGATTCGGCCAACATAAAAATACAAGTAAGGAAAGGAGGGGGCATGTATGGTGACGACGAAGGCTTTGTCCTCGTCGTAGAGAGGTTGGTCGTCGGAAGCAAGGTCGTTGATGGCCAGTCGTGATAGGCCAGGAAACAGATCGCGGCCCCGAGACCCACCCAGAGCGGCCTTGTCGCCGCCGCCATGGCGAAATCCGATGGAGGGAGCAGGAGAAAAACTAAAAGTGTCCTGGGACGAAGTGGAAGGTGAAGCGACGCCTGTCTGCCCTCTTTTGTCTCAATCAAGTTAATTAATTATTATTTTAATTATTTTATTTTTTAAAATTGACATATCATCAAGTTAACGATCCAGTTAGCAGTTATGTTTGCCACGTCATCAAAAGACTGGCGGAATTAACGGAGGCTGACAGAGTCTAACTGCCGGTGACTAACGGTGAAACAATTCGTAAAGTTAGTGGCGAAAAAAAAAAGAAAGTAATTCGTGTGGCAAACATGAAAAATTTATGTAATTCAAATGACCAAACGTGTAATTTAGCCTAATTAGGGAATGGGCTGAAATAACTCGTCTGACAAAAATAAATTAGAATGTGGTATTTTATCCATAAGAGAATTGAAATAACTACATCAATCCTATAACTTAGGCTTGTAAATTAATTGAGGTTGACTTTCATCGCGATATTGTATAATAAAAGTTGAAACCAAACAAGAAAAATGTCTAAGGTAAAAGTAAAAGTAAAACAACAAAAATAAATACAGTAAAACCTCTATAAGTTAATATAGTCGGGACCATGAATTAATTGGTGTTTGGAGTATGATATCCTACTCTAATCTTTAATGGGTTTACCCCAGTTCATGATTCTCTAAGTCAAATAATGAGATTCGTTTAATCTTAAAATGACAACCAACGGTTGAAATATCCAAGTACAAATAATAGGTGTGAATGCATGTATATAATGTATTTCAGGCGTAGGCTAGCCTTTGTCAACTATATATATATATTGTGACTACTACGGTACCCCGGGTGAAATCCGGGGTAGCGAATACCTTGAGTATGAAAACGCTATCCAGACCTCGAATTAGCAGGATATTTGGGCATGATATTATACCCTAACTCTTAATGAGTGAACCCTAGGTCCTAATTATCTAAATCATAATCTATAAACCCTAAGATGGTGCATTGATTTTTTTGTCTATATTTGGCCGAATCATAACCGTCGATTAGTGTTTCTAATTAAATTGATCTTGGGATATAAGATTTATAGAATTAAGGCCTAGATTTTGATATTTAAGGGTTAGAGTTTAGTATCATGTCCGAAAGATCAGTCAATTCAAGTTCTGGATAGCGTTTTCTTAATCAAGGTATGCGGTACCCCGAATTTCACCCTGGTAACGTCAGATGTATATTATACGTTAGGTGATCTAGCCGTTACCCATATATATGGTGGCGTCTTTGATGCACCCACTTTTTTGGGTGCATTAATCGCCATTTTGAGTAGGCAATTCATGCCAAAAAGATGTCAATCATTACTTGTGATATGATAGACATGAAACCCCATGAATTTACAAACATAATCATTCAATATTTACTTGATTTGAAGGATTTAGGATTTAGACATTTAGGGTTGGGGTTATGGTTATGGTTCATATTTTGGGATTTTGTGTTGGTGTTCAAAATTGAAGGTTTAGGAGTTAAGGTAATTGATTGATTAGTTGTGATCCTTTATTATATCATCATATTATACTAATGCTACCAGTTAAAATTTAAAATTTGATTTCTATAGCTAACTTTAGAGTTGGGTGCACCCGAAAAAGTGAGTGCATTGAAGTAGCCACCATATATATATATATATATATATATATATATATATATATATAAATAAAGCTTAGTTGGGCTACTGTTGCCTAACTTATTTACATTTTGATACCCCAAATTTAATTAAATCACAACTTAGTCACTATAATATACATTTTATATTTTGATACCTCAAATTTAATTTTAATGTAAATCATTGAACAATTATCTAAATTGTATGAGAATTTCGTACCTACAATTTTGTACTTTTCTATATTGATCAATTGTTTAGATTTAACTTGAATCCATGAATTCAATCCACCAATCCTTTTGAACCAATCCATGAATCCAATCCACCATAACATTAAAGTATAAATTTAGTTTATATCATACAAGATGTTGTATCACTCAACTGTAGTAGAAGATTCAACCATTTTATACTTGCTAATTACGTGAAACATTAAAAAATGATAAAAAGAGGATTTTAAAATATTACAAGAGCGAATTTATAAACTCAATTAGTACATTTACAATGTACTAAACAAACTTCTACTAACTTCATGTAACAAAATATGCGACATCTACATAAGCAAGTGTCAATAAATTGCTACGGTGAAAATGATTGATTGTTGTATTGATGACCGACTAAAAGAATTGGTCAAAACCTTTTCATCATCTACTTCCTCTTCGGTACATTTTTCACTCGCCTTCCACAACCCTTTCTTTGTTTCTTTCTTTGCCTTCTTCATCTAACCCTAATTAGTATACTATTTTTATGTATTCTAATCGCAAGTATGTAACGGTCCATACACGACTGACCAACAGTCTAGAGAATTAATAACTGAATCATGAACCACTAACTTTTTTAGGTCAATGTCGAGTCCAATAAAAAACGAATATATATGGTTATTACTTATTAGAAATTCATCATTTTCCAGCATGAGATTTGAAGGCATGAAATTTTAAGCGAGTTTCAGTTTGTGTTCCTTTTGCTTCTCTCTAGAGGTTTTCTTTTTCAACCCAACATTTATACATGGGATTTCAACAATTATACATATCAAATAAATAGTTTTCTATTTTTTTTATAAAAAAGTAAATAATTATCATCTTAAATACATCACCATAAAAGGAATTACGTCACTCATACACCACCCATAATCAATGAGTCTACTTGTGTTAAGGTAAATATAATTTATTAGCCAAAAATTTTAAATTGGATGTTGACCTACATATATCTATCCTTAGTCAATATCACATTGTCAAGTCAATATTACTAACAAAACTGCTAACAAAAAATTAATTTTATGCTAATAATACTAACAAAACACCATAACCGGCCACATAATACATTCCTATAGGCCATCTCCACCCGCGACATCGCCACCTAGTATATATATATAATTGAATAGGTTGGAGTTGGATAGTAAAAAAGAAAAAAAAATATTATACCTACTAATATACTCAAATTCTAACTTCATTGAAAATTCTATCGATTCAAGTTTTGTCCTACTCGATTGAATCGAATTTGGTTATAGGTATAATATGCCCCTCTACTATGACGTTTTATCAAATATGTCCTTCTACTATTTTTTACATCAAACATGCCCTTGAACTTTGGAAAACTTATCAAACATGCCCTTTTGTTAAAATTTCCATCCAAAAATCGTTAACCAAGACCGAACTTTGGTTTGGGAGACCCAAATATCTGAAAATCTCTCTAATAATTTTGCTTTAGAGTTTTTTTTTTGGTTCTTTTGTACAGCCAAATAATTCTAATAATTTCACTTTGATGAGATCTAGAAAAATAAAGCAAGGGTCAAAAACTGACATTTCTCCTCCCATTTATCGATGTGAGGTCGTCTAAATCTCGGTTCAACCATGATTGACGATTTTTTCAATGAAAATTTTAACTGAATGGCATGTTTGATAGTTTTTCCAAATCACAGGGGCATGTTTGATGTAAAAAATAGTAGAGGGGCGTGTTTGATAAAACGTAATAGTAAATGGGCATATTATACCTATAACCCAATCAAATTAGATATCACGGGTGTATACTGTAGATACTTTTGCCATCTACAAGTAATACATCAAAGATAATCAAAAGAATGCCAAAAATGACAAATAAGTAACAAGGCGGATAACGAAACTTGGGATAGTGAACCTATTTTTATAGTGGTATGGCAAACTGAACTTTCATTTATGGGTGCAGATAACAATTTGCTTCCAAGTTGAAGATTTCCGATGTCGCGCCCACTGTCTTGGTGAAAGAGAGCCTACTTAATCGTCAAACACCAGAAGTCAAACAAAAATCGTCAATACTCTATATCCGAGAAGGGTTTAATCAATATGAATGTTTGACTACCAGAAGCCTTCCATCCAGTTCCCATTTCCCATTTCCCATTCATTAAATTCCCGCCAATGACCTGAGATCAGATCAGCTATATAATAAGCTCCCACCATGTCCTCCATTTCTCCCCACCAAACACCTTCCATCTTCAGAGCATACTTACAACATCTCTCACCTTCCAACTTTAGAATCAAAAGGCTAAGTAGCTTACCTAAGGGAGCAGAAATGGAAAGCGGGAACAAGGGCTCTTCAGCAGGAAGCAACAACAATAAGGCTGCATCTTCTGCAAAACCTGCTGGCTCCTCTTCTGCAGCAACTGGCTCTGGAACCATGAAGGCCCCTGGAGCTGACCATCACATTTCGAGGGCCGAGTTTGAGAAGAACCCTTCTGCCTACTTTCAGAATCTCCACAAGAAGTAGAAGAACCAGACTACTATATCTATAAGCATATTCTAAAAAATGGGCTAGCAGATTTATCATAAAATAAAGAAAGTTACTTCCTTTTTTCGTTTCTCTTGTTTCCAGTACTACTGCAATCAACCTGAATGAAATGAAAAATGGTCTTTGCTTAACTATTTTAGCGCTTTCATTTGGACTCTGTTTTCTGGCTTTTTACAATTCGTTCCATACGCGACCATTATATTTGTACGAAAAAAAAAATTAGAAAGAAGATCCTAATGAATGATCCCAATCCAATGGCGACAAAAGGATCAGACTTTGAGCCTACCCTCTGATCCCACTCTCCCCGCCGGTGCTCTGCCTCTGCGCAATCCTTCTTGTGGGTTTGATCGCATTCCTGAACAGGACGTTGCGGAAGCGATTACTGCTTCAGCGACAGTTCAATTCGGGAGGAATCAGAGGCCATGCTTACCAGTTCATTTACGGGAACGCCCATGAGATTCGCCGGTTGATGAACGGAGGAATTTTACATTGCTATATTATAGATTATATAAAGCTAAATCCATATTACTGTTGATTATACCTTTGCTCTCATTGGTTCTTTCTTTTTCCATGCATATGTTTTCCCTTTTTCTTTTGATAAATTATATTTTTCCATTTTAAGATTTTGCAACTTCCACATAATACAAAGTTGTACTTTTTTTTATGAGATATTTGGATTCACACCTACTCTAAAATGTTTCTCAATTTTAGAGTTGTGAACTTCTGGTAATGTTTTAACTTTGGAAATAAATTTGCAACAGTGGTATCTGTCCGAATCTGATTTAATCATAGGGTAAAATTTGAACTCGAGTGATTTTTAGTGGGTGTGAAAAAACTTGAATCTGAATATTGCGGTAAAGGATGGACATGGTTTTCCCACTATGCAACCCAAATATGCTTGATTGTACACATGCATATGTATCTTTTTAGAAAGCTTATTATTTTTCTCTATAACCTTGATATTTATTATACATATATAATATTTTCGTACATTTGTGTTGTTTTAACTAAGTTTCTTCATTTTAGTGATTTTTATTGTCGTACGCAATGTCATTATTCGAGTGAATGTTAACATGTTGGTTAGATTTATATATAAAGAAATATTATTGCCCATGAATAACACGTGAAAACCCGAATCATCGAGAATGGACATGATTTTAATTTTCTGTTTGATTCTTGTTTGAGTATGGGTAAAACCGAACTATTTTTTGTAGGATAATAGATATCTACTATCTGCCTCCGACCCGATCGATTTCCATTCCTAATTTTATTAGTCCTTTTTTATTTTGTTGATTTGATAGAAATTAGGATGACATATCGTTGGTACCCAAATGAATTTGAATAATTTTATTTGAAAATGTTCAATCAATAAGATATTTTGGGGGTTAACCTCAAAACTCAACTAAGAAAGTAATATTTTTTTTTTTTTTTGTATTCCTTCCAAAATAAACTTACTATTTACTACAAGCGCGATTTAGATTCCCTGAAGTTAGAGCACTCATATCTTTAAGATTTCTTTTTTATTTTAGACTTTCATTCTTGCTTATTTCTATTCATTTATCCAATAATATATTTAAAATCCGTCTACATCAACATCTTAAGAAAAATATTGCACAGTATCAAGAACTTTTTGCTAGGTTAGTTTTGGCAATGTCATATTATAATTTTTTTCTACGAGAATGATTACTATTTATTATTTAATCATGGTTCAATGCTGATAACAAAAATAATTGTTATATAATCTCATCAATAAAATTTTATACTCCTTTATGATTTCGTCTTTTGTTGCTTCAATTCAGATTATATGGTGTTAGGGTTAGTAGATATCAGCCCAACACCTGAATAATCTTTTAATGGTTTAATTTTGTGTTTGGCGCACTCACTTAGGATAATGCATTAACTTGTGATTTTATGTGATATCATCATATTAGACTCATGTTACAAATCGAACTTTAAAATTAGATGTCTTAAAATTACTTTTAAAATTGGGTGAATAGTATGTATGCATTTTTGTAATATAAGATGTAATGTTGTTATTAGGTTATTAAACAGAATAATATTTGTGACTAACCAACAAAGTAAAAAATTAAAAAGAAACCGCATACCATTGCAGAGCTCGGCCGCCACCTATCTAGTAACTATATAGTATTGGTGCTATAGCTTTGTGTTTTTATGGTACAACTTCATATTGTATCTATACTCTTTTGTACAAATTTTTTTATGGTAAAACTTAAACTTGTACCTTCATGTGATGGTGCAACTTTAAGTTATAAAGTTGTATCATAACATAATGGTACAACGTTAACTTATACATTTAACATTATGGTACAACTTCAAGTTGTACATTAAAGCACCAATACTTTACAGCATGGTAGAAGTGTTCTGACAACAGAGTCAATGGCAAAGCCCATGTCGAGTCTTTCCCAAATTGGAGGAGACCGAGTTCGAGTCGGAATGTTAAACCGAACTCGCTGGTTTATTTCCATTTTAGTCTATCTTTCCTTGTTCACATAGTTATAGGTTTCTTACTTATCAAAGATAGTGTTATGTGAAAAAGAAAACGGGGGAAAATGAATATTTCGCAAAACAAAGAGAAAAACGACGTCGTGAGACCTTCAACCCGCTAATCTTACAGTGAGTCGACCTACTGGTGTATGTGGTCTGTTTTTCTTACCAGATCATATCAAAACGGCTTAACGGACTGATCGACCCGGAGATTGAAAACCTTGGTTTTGATTGTTAACAATATAATAATAACAATACTTATAATTTTTTGGAAGTTTACTAGCTAGTAGTGTTTATATTTTAACAAACGGAATCTAACGACTAAAGCATTCGAGATTGCCAAAACTCTAATAATCGAAACCGTTAAAGCTTCTTCTGAAATTATAGGTTATTAACTTATTATTCCCCCTCTTGTATTTTTCTTTTCCCGTTTTAGTCATTGTTGGGGAGCCTTATTAGTATACACTACTACGATTTCTTTTAATGGCGCCACATGTATATGTACATACTATATACCTTTAGCCTAAAACTACCATCTATTATTTATTTATTTATTATTTTTTTTATAAAGGGGAGGCTTACGCCAAGGAGATTACAAACCAGAACAGAGCTGCAGCATAACAGCTACCGCGAAGCTCACTTTTGAAAAAACAAAAGAAAGAATCGCTCCTAGCAGACCAACTCCAGAGACCATAATAACCAAAAGAGAAACTCGAGAGCGAGCAAATCTGTCCAAGACGTTGTCATCGATCTAAATTCATAACCACTCTTCGCGGGAAGCTAACCCCAATCACATCCTCCCTTAGCAATTTATCAACATCTTCTGGAAGTTCCATTAGTTCATACATATCAAAGGGATAGACGCGACTGTGTTTCGAGAACCCGTCTACGACTCTATTCCCTTAACGATACGTATGAACCAAACGAACTATCTAGTCTTGAGCAAGAAGTCTGCGAATGGTATTCAACAAGGTACCGTGGGGGGTGAACCGGATCGTCACGACTAGTTATGAGATCAACAGCTAATTTGGAATCAGTCTCCAAAACCAGCAGCCTAATACCCTTATTCCAACCAAACTCCAATCCATGTGTAATTCCCCACAGCTCAGCGAGAATGGCAGAACCCCCCATCCACTTTCCTAGTTGTCACGTAGCACTCCCCCAGCTCTCGCCATGCCTGGGGTACCCTGTGCTGCCCCATCCGTATTAAGTTTTATCCAACCAATTAATTGTTCCTCCCGGGGCCGGTCGCCTAATGTTACCAAACCTTTCATCTGCTTCTTTCCAGGCTTTCAATCAATCTTTGGCTTTGGAGATCGTATAATTAACCAGAGTAAAAGATGAGATTCGAGTAACTTTAAAAATGTAATCATTCCAATTTTTCCAGTTTACCAGAAAATGATGGCGAAGTAGCTGCTCCAGTTCTCCTCTTCGCCTTCCTCCTTCTCATTAGATATGTTGGTCCGAAACCATTCTTCATGATCATCTCAAAAAAAATTTGTTGTTGTAGTTGAGGTATGGTCTTTTCCCAAGTTTTCCTAGCCACGCTGCAGTCCCTCAGGCAATGTTCGTTAGTCTCGATTTCTTCTTGACACAGGGGGAAGGTGTTGATCTCCGCAAGCCTTTTCTTCATTGTTGTCCATATGAAAAGTCGGGCTCTTTCAGGGACATGGAGTCTCCAAATGCGGGGCCATATAGCTGATTGTCAATTTGTTGGAGGGGTGAGACAAATTCATACGCCGATGTAGTACTGAAACACCCATTAGCCGAAGCCTTCCAAAAAAGCTGATCACTTTCTGTAGAAAGAGGGTCGATCATAACTGCCATAATTTGGGCCAAAATGTCCTGAGGGAGGTATTTGTCTAGCTCCTCAATCTTCCACCCGTTGTCCGGAGACCAGAAGTCGAACACCTTCTTGTTTTGTATCTCTGTCGGGATCTCTACTATCACAAAATCCGCCAGAGGCATTTGCAAAATCAAAAGGTAAAACCAGAAATGAGTTGTTTTCCATTCTTAATGTTGAAAGCTGAACCTTTGCGCAAGATTTTAGAGGTTTGCGAAAAACTTCGCCAAGCCAACGAACTTCCCTTTTACTGTTTGAGTATCTCCATTCCCGTTCTATTATTTATCACCTTTTAAATTTTTCTCATAGATGTGCCCTCATTATATAGTCGTTGATTAGACGAATTTTCGAAGTACAAAACTCATAAATTTTTCGTTATAATGATCATTGATTAGATGAAGCTATAAAGTCTACGATACAAGTTTCAGAAATATCTAAATCACAAGCAAATTTTGAATGTATTTCACATATTTAATATATTTTCTTCCTCATTCATATCTATCTATCAACCCTATATATGATAGTAGAATGCAAGGTTGTTAAACCCCTATCGAACCCCCCGGTTGGACCCGGTTCAATCCGAGTCGAGCTTCAAAACGGCCTCCACAAAACCCCCCGGTCTGACCCCTAA